CTAGCAGCTAGCTAACAGCTATAGCCGCCTGTGTCCTCATCCACCTGTCAGTCACAGAGGCCACGCCCCTAACAATGCAGACTTTAAATTATCTGCAGAGACCGAGCAGGTTGTGTATCAGGCTGTTATGGTTATTTTAACATGAGAGTCTATGGGGACTGACTCACTGCTGCCCCTGCTGGATGTCAGAGGAACTGCAGGTCAGTGCTTTGTCTGTTTTCAGACAGCAACTTCTACACAACTACACGTCAAACTCTTTGTTTTTAGAGATTCAAAGCCTGAAATTCAGGACCATGGACAGCACACACACAGACACACACACACTGACCGCTCTCGCCCGCCCGCGTGCACGTCAGCATTAATGCGTGTTCGGGTTCGAGTCGCTGTGAGACGTGATTTTACGACGAGGATAAAAACAGAGGTTTACGAGCCGTTTATAACCAGCAGCGTGTTTCTGGCCTCGAGCTCAGGGCGCGAGCAGCTTTATGGACCGCAGAAGGACGCGGCCATCGGCCCACTCACCGTTGAAGCTGACACTGCGGATGTACTTGAGCAGTTTCTTGCCCCCGGCGATCTCCATCTCGGGGCAGATGCCGGAGTTCTCGGGACACATGTCACGCTGCATGTTGTGGAGCGCGTGGGCCATGGCGTACACGGCGTCGATGACGAACTGCACCTTCCCCTCCTGCTCGTACTTTGAGTCGATGCCGATGCGCTCCTGACCTGAAGGAGACAGAGGTCACACAGAGGTCACACAGAGGTCACACAGAGGTCACACAGAGGTCACACAGGAAGCTGCTGACGCTCGCTGGGTTTTTTGCTGAAGGTGACACAATTACAGAACATATGAATGAGCAGTTTCACACACACACACACACACACTGTGACCTTCACCTGCAGTGAGTGAGCAGAGGTGAGTTTAGCAAAGACAAACTTGGACGTGTCTGTGTGATGGCACAGGGAGACAAACATACACCACAGTGGGTTAACTGCAGGACTTTGAGGGTGAGGATGGTGGGTGAGGATGGTGGGTGAGGATGGTGGGTGAGGATGGTGGGTGAGGAGCTGCGCCGTGAGCACGGCTGAGTCAGTATTAATAATGTTTATCGATCACGCTCTTTCATAACGCCTCCAACAGGCAGCACTGTGACTGCAGTCTCTCCCTCTGCTGTGATGACAGGAAGGAAGCTTTAAAGTAACAGCAGCTCAGTTTAATCAGCCAGCGAAGGAAAAACTTTGGCTTCGCGTTTAAAGGACGCGTCTTTGTCTTTGAGGCCTCTCCGTCCTGAGCTCGTCTGTCTTCGTGCTTTTCTCTCTGTTTGAGGAGCTCAGATCTTTGGTCTCAGCCCAGAGCGACTCAGAGCGCTCGGCTCCGTCAGCTGACCAGCGAGGAGCTCGGGAGTAGCGGTCTTTGTACTTCTGTCTTTGTGCTGTTCAGGAACAGGTGGCGAGGCCCAGGATGGCCAGAAGGCAGACGTACGGCAGCGAATAGCACGGCTTCCAGATAATGTGGTCACAGGCAGAGACTGACGGCGTCGTCCTATCTCTGCTCTTAAACCCTCCCGAGGCCCCGCCTCTCCA